GATAAAGGATATTTAGTCTGAATCTCAAGATGAACAGCTTAATAGACAACAGTGAAATCAATGCAGCTGCAGAATAACCTCTCACTGGAGGTTATACAAGCCTATCTGAGAGGGATAAGCAACCCGAAATTCAGTAAAAAATACACTTTCATTAGACTTTGCATTGAAGTGAAATTGTAAATTCCATTTACATCTTTTTGTTTATGGGCATTTGGAATTTTGTTTGTTTTATTTTTGGCTGATGATGTCTGCTTACTTTGAAATAAGGTGTTTTGGTATTTTTCTCTTATTAGAGCACAGAAAAGGAAAATGCAAAGTTTTTCAGTTTGGTAACCTGTATGTTCCAATGTGGAGAAAAAAAAAAGACATTTCCTCTGTGAAAAAAATTGCCTATTCCAGCCAGATGCAAAACCAAGAATCTCACACCTTCTGCATTAAACCATACATCAGCACATGTTCAAGAAGTTGTGAAGGAGGACCTCAACATCTTTTTTTTTTTGTATTTGAGCTTTGACCTAAGTTATTTCCCCTGTCATTTTGGAGAAGCAGGTTTCCTGGACAATGTATTTTAATGTTTTGCCCCTACTCTTAGGAGCACTGCTGAAAAAACAAAAAAACCCCTTACTGTTGAATATTTTTTTCCACTCTTCTGCTTCACTTTTACCTCACTCAGTTTGTCTCACTCACAGTCCCTTTGTCTCACTCAGTTTCATGTCAGCCAGTGCTCCAGGTTAGTCTGACTCAAACATTTCTTCATCTTCAGCTTTAAATAAAACTTCAGCAGCACAGTTATCTATCTGAGGTGGTAAATAACACTTTGCTAATGATCAGTCACTGCAATGAAGCCATAGAAAGGGAATGGACAGGATTTTCACTGCTCTTTTGTGCCATGTCTTTTATTGATCTATCAGCTGGATGCATCTGTGCTGCTCTGTTAAGTCCTTCACACTGGAAGAGCTGTGAATTATGATGTTTTCTAGGCAATATTGTCCTATCATGGCTACTACTGACTTAGTGTGGATGGGGCACTGGGGAACTATTTTTGACACCCAGTGCAGAAGGCTGGGATCACACCAATCATTTCTGCACCCATGGGGAGGATCAGAGGAGCTCATCTTTCTGTTTGTCCTAACAGTTTTCCGTGGTGCTGGCCATGCACGTTCACATACATCTCCAGGCACTGTAGGTTGTGTCTACAATTTGGCCATATCTCAAGGTACTTAAGAGTCCTAGGAATGGCCACCCAAGGGAAGGTTTTTTTTGTTTGTTTGTTTTGTTTTTTGTTGTTTTGTGCATTTATTATCTGAAAGACACATAAAGTGCCTCCAAATCCTTGCTTCCTAGTCCTGCGGTGGGATTTGTAAGAGAATATATTGATTTCGGCAGAGTTGCCTCAAATGATCCTCTTCTCTTATTTTTGCTTTCTCCCTGCCCCCTCCCCACTTTTTTTTTTTTTTTTTTTTTTTTCCCCCTACAACTACCTCTTTAATTATAAAGACAAAAGAGAACAGATGCTGCCATTTTGGAAATATTTTGCCATCTGAATTCTTCAGGGCTTTGCTTGCTGCAGCTTGTGGGCTTATCTGCCACATCACAGAGACTCTTTCAGTGTTTGACAGCAACTTTAGAACACTTGCAAGGAAAACAAAGGACTTAAAATCACTGTGACCTAGACTGCTTCTGTCCCAAAAGGGAGATTTATAAGATTTATAAGTTAAAAAAAAAAAAAAAAATCCAGAATTAAAATTGAGTGAAGATCTTTTTTTCTTGCTTAGGAAAAAACACTCTGGTGGATTACATTTAACTGGATGCTGTTTGTTTTTTGTTGGCACTTCTTATTTTTGGAAAGGAGTTCAATAAAGCAAAGCTCTTCCTTAGAAAAAGTTTCTTGAGCATCCACTTTAAGCATTTGAATAATTGTCCTGATGTCAGTATGGTTATGCACATGCTTCACATTGGAATTAAGGACCCTGAAGAGCTGTGACCAAAGTAAAACTAGATAAAAAACATACGAGAGTTACTGTGTTTCTACCAGTTAAGGGAGCTGACTGCTCTCAAGCTTTGCAATAACTATCTGTGCTGTCCCCATGGGCCTAGCTGGCTGCTGTCCTTGTGTTTTTGGGAAAATTCTTGTTGCAGTAATGACACTGTCTAGTCAGTAGGCATGTCAGAGAATGCAGCTGTATTTTGGAGGCTGACTAGAAGTCACACATCAGACTAGCCATGAGGGTACAATAACACTGTGCTGATCCCAGAAAAACTGACCTATCTCTAAGTAAGGCTTACCACTGGAGGTTTAGCCCTGTGCTGAGTGCTATTGCACAGCCCTGGCTGGAAGCTGACTTGTGGCCATCATGACTAAAAATCCTCTGTCTGCTTCTAGGGTGCTGGTATGGATGTTTCCAGGCAGTAGAAAGCAGATAGTGGAAGAAAGAGCTGGATCTAAGCCCTTCTGAGCTTCTGTGTATCCTTGTCGTCACCAAGAGTCCTCTCCAGTCTAACCTGCCATGGTAGTCCCTGTGCTAAATCAGATCCTTTCCTGGGATATGCTCCTTCAGTGTACTCCTAGGGCCACATGCACAGGCCAACCCCTGCAAAAAAACACACACAACACTTTTATTCCTGGAGAATTCTCTTCTGCTAAAAGACGGGTATATCTTAATCTCCTTCAATTAGCTTATCAAGGTGAGAATCTACAAAGACCTCTGAGCTACATTTACTCTATTTTGATAAGGACTATCTGTACCTCTAATAAAGACTCCTACAAGTAGAGGATGGAAGTGATCTTGTGGCAACAACTGAACTGAATTTGCTGGACATTAAAGCATTAAAATCAAAGTAAAAGCCAGGAAGGCTAAAGGACTTGCTCTTTAGAGGTAACAATTCAAGACCATTCTCCTGCTTTGCATAAGCAAAAGAAAGAAAAAACTGTTTTAAGAGAAAGATATGGATTTTTTTGCCTTTTTACTGGATGATTTCTTTTTATATAATTTATTGGCAGAAAAAAAACCCCAAAACAAAAAAACAAACAAAAACCCCCCCAAATAGCAAATCTTAGTCCTACTTCTTAGTAATCTTTTCACGGGAAAAAAGCTCAGACCTCAAAATCAGCCTGATCATGAATAGGTAGAGGTAGAGCACTTCATAATTATCTATGATAATGAAAACACCATAGATTCATATCAATGGATTTTTAACAACACCGGTGTTTGTATCCCTGCATTTTTTTACACAACCACGAAAAAGAAGCGTATCCTCAGTGATCACAGCTATGCTACAATATAAAGCTAATGCTTGGTGCCAAAATAGGGAGACACTTTTGTTCCTCAGTCCCTTCGTAGGTGTTGTTGAAAATCTCCCTGACAAAGACAGTCCCTGATTTAACAAAATTGCATGCATGCATCTCCCACTCTGCCTCAGCAAAACCTGCAGTAAAAAGCCAGTGTGATGAAGCGAAAAGCATTTGGATATGGAAACGTGATTTGGTTTAAAGCCTCCAAGAGACCTTGTCATAAGCAAGGAAAAGAAAAGAGGTATTTGAAGAGGGAAAACACATTGACAGTTATCTTCATATAGTCAAGTGTAAAGGAGAGTCTAAACTATGGAGGCTGCATCTTGCACATGCACCTAAGATGTTTATTGAAAGTTTCTTAATCCACTTTATGTTTTCTTCAGTGCAGCATTCCTTAGTTCTCAATGGAAAGGATACTGCTCTGAAGACCAGAACAATACATTTTTCAAAGATATTAGAGATGTCACTGAAAAATTAGAACACTTCACAGTTCTTTGGGTAAGGCTGAAGATAGGGATATCCTGCCTGTACCTTAGATGAGTAAAAAAAAAGCCTGAATCAAAATCACTGAATCTTAGACATTACAGCTATAACAGCCTACATAGGTCACCTAACACATCTCTCTGTCACTAATCTGGGAGTGTAAACTTCTTGTTGCAGCTTAGGGCTACCCTGCATGCTGAGTTTATTGGGGAATCTCTGGTGAGGAACATTTTTAACAGCAGGGAGACTTCCTGTCTGTGTTACGTATGGTTTTATATTTCTGTTTCTCAAAGAATTATCTAATGGAAAAACCAGCCAGTGGTGGGAAATATTTCCATTTTTGGAAATATCTCAATTTTTGCTATTGGTGATAGGCTGGTTCCTTTGACAGGAACAAAACTAGCTGCTGTTTCTCCTATTTTTGACACTGTTACATGTATTAGAAGTTCCCTTGGAGCATCAAGGCTCCTTTCCAACAACACAAAGTACAAGATTCTGACAATGAGTCCCTTGTTTAGATTTGTCTAGGTCCTCACTCAAGCAAAGCTTCCTTGGCTTTGGTTGGGTTTTATCTACAAACTATAGATAACAGTAACTGAGCAAGAAGTGAGCCTGGATCCTTCTATTAATTTCTTGGGTTTGGGAAGAAAGAAATTAGGGGTTATTTAGTTGTCAGGGAGACATTTTTACATAAAGTTATTATGCTGGGATGAAATTGGATACAGACTATACCGCATGAAGAATGAAGAATGCTTTGAAACATTTGCAACACAGAGCTATTGAGACAGACACTGTCCCAGTCCAGTCATCTGGGATTAAACTGCAGCCTGGTCCCATCTCTTAGTTGTAGATTTTTTTCACCCACCAGAAAGGCTCTCTTTGGCTGAGCAAGGGGAATCAGGAAAGCTGCTGGCTCTCCTGTAGTGACCAGGAAGACTTTCTAGAGATGCAGGATGCCTCTGGGATGGGGAACTTGGCTCACCCCTCATTAAACATCCTTCCACCTCTTTTTCTAAAGAGATACACACACCAACGATTCCTGGTGTATTTGTCCAGCATAGCTCTAGCCAGAGGCCTAAGTGAAAAAGGTAGAAGCTAGAGAGTCACAGAGCTGAATCTTTTTGAGGGTCTACAACACAAATAGAGGCTACAACCACAGCTGACACCCCCGTCCCCATGCAGTTACCTGTGCTAGTGCTTTATATCCAGTGGTTCCCATAACTCTTCAGTAGGGACGATTAGCATCCTTTGGCCTCTTCAGCTGCACCTTCAGCCTCTTCATACCAATCTGGAAGCCATTCATAGCCTGGATAGCAGCTTGGGCACTGGCAGGATTGTCAAAACTCACAAAACCTGTCAAAACATGAGGCAAGGCAGGGGGCTTAATGAGCTGAAGGGGGCCAAGGAACGTACATGCAACGACCACTGAGAATGAACATGGGCAAGGGGGTGAGGGCGGTGGGAGGGAGAGGGTGAGCAGGTAGGAGGGTGGGCAGGAGAGTGAGGAGAGGATGATTGCCAATGGGGGACAAAGGGTAGGAGGGGTTGTTACAGATAAGTGTCCCAGGACACAGTGCCTGGTCTGAATGTAAATTTGGACACAAGATTATGTGAAGCACAGCGATCCAAATGTTGGTGCCACAGTACCAGCACACACAAGATTTGGGTCACCTTTGGGCTAAGAGTCAGCAGATGGGATGTATGGTCTCAAGGCACTCTGTCTTGCTCTT